TACGCCATCTGACTTTTCCATTACTGTGGTGACGTCGCCGAAGAACAGGTTCTTGATGGCGTCTCCTTGCTCACCTTCGCGCAGAATGCTGTCACCTGTTATGGCACAGGAAATGAGATCAAATATGTTCGACATGACTTCTGCTGCATCCTGTTGTCGAGCGCTCTCCTCAATCCTACCAATTCTCGAAATCGATTGGACAGCAGGCTTGATGGCCGGTTTAGGGTCTGCCCGTGGTGGGATTGGCGGAGGCCGTGTTGGTGGGGCAGGCACGTCGCCCTCGCTCTTGCCTGCTGCAACGTCGTCGTTCATGACAGAATCAGCAGGTGTAATCGGCGCCGCATCAGCATTCTCCATGACCGAGTCTGTAGGATTTGTGTTGTCGCCAGTCACGGCTGAGCCGGCTGCAGCTTCTGCAGGAGCAGACTGCATCGCAGCAGGTGGAAGCATCGGTCCACTAACCGCAGCTCCATCAATCGTGCCCAAGCCTGCGCCGTCGGTAGTGTTTACTGGTGGTGACTCCACTGGATCCGCGGGATTGTCTGATTTGCATAGTGCGAGTGAAGCGAGGTCTATGGCAGGCTGTACCGTGTCTGTGGATGCGGTGATCATGCGCTCAAACAAAGTCCGCAACTCCCGGACGACTACGCAAGGTTAGCATCGATCTGAAGTAACGAAAGACATACTGACACTTCTGTGCCGTCAAAACCCTTTCGGCTGTGACCCACATGCGCCCAACTTTCTTGTTTTTCAAGCTTTCTGGAGAAAGATCTTGTAGGTATTTCTCGCAATTAAGAATGAGATCTCTCAAGGGCTTGATGGTGAACAGGAATTGGAGAACGCTGTTGAGATAGCAGGTATTACCGATATTGCGGAGCCCAACCGGCCATGAATCGAGGGGGTATTTGTTCCTTCTGACTTCGGAGGGGTTGACGTGGTTGTCGCCAAACCTCTGTGACTGGTCGTTCTCGATAAGTTTATACGCTGTCTCCATGCGTGCTCGTTCGCTGGAGCCAATATCGTAGGTGCTGACTAGAGAGCCCAAAACTGCAAGTTCGAGCTTGACGGTTCTGTCTGGTTGTTGGAAAAGGGCGTAGGCTTCCCCAAGGTCCATTTCAGGCTCGCTCATTGCCCCGAACTTGGCGAACTGTCGCAGTCGTTCGCTGTTGCGCGCATCTGCTATGATATCCAGGGCTTTCCTTGCAGATTCTATGCTTGCGGGGCTGTCCTGAGTCTATTTGAGTGTTAGCAATCGTCAGAACAACAAACAAGTCATGTCGGGACCCGATGTGCACGGTACCTTTAGCGAATACATGGTCGGGATGAAATCGTCGGCTACACCAAGCTCAAGATCAAAGAATGCCATGGCCTGCTCGTACGTCTCGATAGAACCAGAAGCCTCTGACCGTATTCTGTCGCTGTCACGCACGTCTCCGAGAACTCGCAGTTGCTTTCGTGCCTCCTCAGCCTGTATAACGCTGACATCGGCTAGCCGCGACCGGAAGCATCCTATGATATGATCGTCGCCTATCACGTTTGCGTGGGTTGGATCAATCCCAAAGTACTGGTAGGCACGCTCGGTATCGCGTTTGCTAGTGAGACCCTGTGAGGCCAACAAAGCAACCTGCATCTGAAGCATCTCACTTTGGCGACCGGCAGCGAGATCCTGCAAGCATTCGAAGTAGTAGGCCTTGTTCTCGATATCGACAGCGCCTTGTCGAGAGAAGGCGAACAGGATTAAGGCGTCGTCGAAGTCACCAACGGCGCCTAGACTAGCGTAGTAACTACATGTCGTCAGTAAGCAGGAACGCCGGTGAAGGTGAAAGCGGGGCACATACGGATGATCTTCTTCGTGGTTTGTACTGCGTGTCTCCCGTCCCTTCGCCTTAGCGTCTGTGCAGCTTGTCAGTGTCCACATTGTGTAACAAGCGGGGCGTATATGGACATACAATCCGCGCATGCTAACGCTCTTTCCATATCGTTTCGGGAAGGTGTAGGATACATCGGCTGGTGTCTGCAGCCCACTCGTTCATTCTCCGGCATGCTAAGTATTAATGTATTCAGCTCATAGCGAGCGTCCTCGATCTTGTTGCGCAGCGTCGATTCGAGAGGAGATGCCGCTTCGTTGGGCCTGGGGAGATACCAGACTTCTACAATGGTATCCTCTTCCTCTTCCTGGCGGTTCTCGAAGCCCAGACGCCGTAGTATCGAGTCGCAGTCCCTACCGAAGGTCTTGAGAAACTTCTTGTTCAACAATGGAATGCGCGCCTTGCCCTTCGCGGGCTTCAACGAATCTTGTAGGTATGTGTTCAGGTAATCGGGAGCATCGACCTTCCGCGCCATGTTTGCGTCTGCCCGGTCGCCGGCGATCTGTTTCGCTGCTTCCCATCGTCTCCTGAGCTGGGCCTGGTCGGTCAAAGTGACAATGTCCTGCTCCGAGAAGCATGGCGGCTTCATGCTAATCCGTACCCTGACTGAGCACTCCGGCGCAGTACAGCGGAAAGTGTAGGTGCGCGGGCGCAGCTGAGCCTCGATTCCACCGGCACCACTCGAGTTGTCTTCTCCTTCGTAGAGGAAGTGGTGCAAGGCATAGTCCTCGTTGCCCTTCCCACACGACTTGATCTTGGTGGCATCGGTGCGGTGGTTGACACGGACATCGACATGCCAGCGACACTTGTTGCAGTATGAGGCGACCTTGTATGTGGTATTCGGGGTTGCGTCTTCGCCTGCAACCGGCAACAGCGACTGCTCAGACTTGGTGAAGAAGTTGTGGCGGCAGTTTCTGAAGGGTACGGCGGCGACTGCTGGGGCTTTGCTGTCGTGTTGCGGCGGGGCACTCGTCAACAAGTTCCGGCCGGCCCGTTCTTCGTGTCGCGGATCGTATGTGATGAGGTCCTGCAGTAGCCGCGGCGCCGTCTTGCCTGTGAGTCGAGGTTAGCACACGCTGGTGGGACGAGGGTGGACAAAGTACCGGGCGCCATAGCTGCTGTGTTCGGTGAGGAGTAATAGTGTGGCGTAAACTATGGATGACAGAATGGAGGGTTTACTGGCAGCACAACATGCACGGCGAGATGGGTGGAGAAGGGCGAAGACGGGAGAAGTTGCTACTGTGTGATTGAAGCGTTTACAGACAGAGCATCGTGGGCGGCGACCGCCTAGTAGAAGACTACAGTGCTAGATTCTGGAGGAACAAGACAGCTAGCCCACGTGAATAGCCCTGACGCATGCAACGACTACGCACAAGAAAACACAAGACCGCAACGGTACAAGCGGCGAGGCACACGGGCTCGCGGCATTCACTGCGACAGCTCGACGACGCGGCGCGCGATGATGCAGCCAGTGCCCGCCCGCCGCCGCTTGAGCCCTGAGCGCCAAGACGCTTATGGTCTGGCGCATCTTCCCGCTGCCGACTTCAACAACGTCCATAGAGCTCCCAAGACGACACCCACGCCCAATTTGCCCGCCATGGCCGACCAATACGTCACCTTCCACCCGCGGGACGCTCTCTCGAATACTGCGAACACGACGCTGCAGACCACGGCCGCCGGCGCCATCATCGCCGGTGTCCAGAACACTCTCCGGAAGCAGAATGTTGGAGCCATGGGCATCCTCACCCGGTCGGGAGGCATAATCGCGCTATACGGTCCGTAGCAGGTCAATTGCAGGAGAATGCATCGGGACGAAGCTAATTGACGTGTAGCCGGTGTGGGAGCCGCCTATCAATTCACACTGGACGCGACCAGCAACCTGCGACAGAAGGACGACTGCTACAGTGAGGCAGTTGCTGGTTTCGTGGCTGGATGCGGTGTTGGTGTTGCCAGTACGCATGCTCAGGACCAATACATACGCCGGTACTAACAGTTCACAGGGCGAAGCCTTCCATTCATGCTCGGTGCCGGAGTATGCTTCTCCACGGTCCTCACTGCCTACCGATACACTGCTGGAATGCGCGGTATTGGAGATATTCGCGACCAGGTCGACGACGATGGCGAGGTCGAGCGCAGGGAAGAGCTGAAGAAGGTGCGCAGGCGGCCAATGTCCGAGACTCTGCAGCAATTGGGCGAGGGACGTGGTATGTCAAATCAGGGCCAGGACATTCTTGCTGAAGCTGACTTTACCAGGAATTTACGGTCCCGGATACGAGGAGAGGAGGCGGCAACGACTGTTGGAAAAGTACGGCGTCGACGTCAAGGCAGCGCAAGAAGCCGCTTAGAAGCATCACACGACCACAAATTTCCTTGCAGTCACAACAGCAAACACTACAAAGACCTAGGCCACCTCCGGCTTGTGTATATATTACCCCAAACAATCGAAGACTTTATCCAAACCTCGATTTCGATGCAGAGTTGAACTTTCCCACATTAGTGTGCACTCGAAGGCAGCCATCTTTGCACTCTATGATCAGATAACGGAAGTCTGAACTGCCAGACTAGGGAAGGACTTTGCAACAGTTGCGCATAAGTTTAAAATACATTCCATCACTTTTGCTACAGGCCAAATGGCATTGAGCTCAAGCGAAGAGGTCGTACGCGATGTGATGAGAGCTTATAACGCAGGTTGGATTCTTTCAATCCTAGATATCTATTGCAGACACAGCCATGCCTCAAGAGATCCATACATCTGACAATACACGAGACACTATTGGTGAAATGCGGGGTAGCGTGCATCCCACCAGTTCGATGATGTCGCGTCTTTCGACCGTCAATTATATCCATCCATAAGGGGTTCGATAACACGAAAGCTTCAACATTATTGACCTGTTGCATTGCCAGACTGTCACCTAAACTCGTAGTTTCTGTACTTCATTGGTCTGCACCATGTTACGGTTTTCGCGCGCTCCATGCGCGTCTCTTTCAACCCCACTAACCAACCCACCGACGCGTGAACTTCTCACCGAAGAACTTCGAGGCTCAACGCATGCCAAAAGACAAGAATACGGCTGGCGAATATTAAACCTCACACCTCAACTCCCTTAACGTCGCGACAACACCCGACGCGCAATGGCCGAGTCCAACCTCAAAGAGACCTTCTACCGCCAGTTCAACCAAGATGTCGCAAGTCCGTCTCCCACATATCCACCACAGCATGCGCCTTGACTAACACACTCAGCACTTCGCGCGCAAATCGAGAACCTCTCCTCCGTGTCCACATCTGGCGGCGAGCGCAACGAAGCAATAGACAACTGCCTGGCCGGCATAAACCGAGTAGCCCTCGATGTCCAGGACGCCTCGAGCTATCTTCCGGCTTACGATCAACGGACGTACAGCGAGGTACGTCACATATCGAAGATAGTGAAGCCAAAAGAAGAGCTGGAGGCTGACAAGAAAGTGTAGACAATCAAGCGTCTGAGTGAGAAGTTGTCAGAAGTGAGGAATAGCTTCGATCCACCCAAGAAATTTAGTTTCAAGAATAGGAGGAAAGATATCCCGAAACCAGACGCTGCACCTGATACATCGAGCGCGAAACCGTCCTCCGCATCGGAACAAACACCACCATCACAGCAACAACAGCAGCACGACACAACGCAACACGACTCGTCCCTGTCAGCGCTCTCCTGGAAATCCCACGCCAGTATAACCCTCCCTTCATCTCCCCACGAAACAAGTTCACCGACAGTGTCCCACCTCACCCACTGCATCGTCGATCTCAGCGCCCCAACGAAAGCCAACGCGCCCTTTGCTGCCGTCTACCTCCGTTCTATAAGCTCGTCGCTCATAATAACCGGCCAAGTCGCAGGCGCAATACACATCACTGATGTTTCCAACAGCATCATAGTGACGGCGTGTCGGCAGTTTCGCATGCATGGGAGCAAGAACGTGGATGTATATCTACATAGTACGAGTCGGCCGATCTTTGAGGACTGTGAGGGCCTGAGGTTTGCGCCGTTACCGGGTGTATATGTTAGTCTTCTCTTGGTACTTGCAGTCTTTGCTGTGTAAATTCGTTAACAACAGTATAGACGACACTGGAGATCGAACAATCGCCAAATCAGTGGGATCAAATCGACGACTTCAAGTGGTTGAAGGCCGAGCCAAGTCCGCACTTTAGTCTGCTACCTGAAGCCAGGCGCATTTCTGAAGACGCGTGGAATGAGAGCATACCCGGGGACGAGAATGAGAGCCCGGATGATACCCTGAAGGCCTTTGGTGTACGGTGACGGAAACCGACCGTCAACACATCCATGTAACAGGTCTCTCAACCTTGGCGTACACTCTAGCCCCTGCGGCTTTCTGGCTTGTTTCAATCATGACACATTCTGAGAAGACATCACAGTGCAACGAAGATCTTTGTTAATGGCCGAAGTAAAAAGTGTTGTATATTATATGCATGCTGATCTGTTGCGGCCGTGTAACTGGTAGTACATGTGAGGAAAACCCTGTCTGGCTTAAAGAACACTCCCTAAAAAGATCATACCACTTCCCTTGACCTCCTCAGACCCACAGTGTAGGTATGTGGACAGAGTTGGAACGCTCCATGCTGAACGCTATACGCGATGCAAGAATGTCTCACCATGTCGACCTCCTCCAACAACAGCGCATCTCCTTCACGACAGAAAGAGACCGATGAGAGAACCACGCCTTGGCTTATGCAAAGTGAGCGAAGACGAGAGCGACGACGATAGCCGCGAGCGAACTCTTTCCGGCACCGACGACATGGCCCGTGTTGATGGGCACTTCGATGTAGCTGGGGTAGGGGGCAACAATCGTGCCGTTGATGCCGCCAGACGGGTAGGGATAACTGCAAAGATTGGTCAATGAACATAGAAAGTACGAAGGGTCAGTAAGACGTACCCAGATCCGGAGGGACCACCAGAGACACCTGAAGGGATGCTGGTCGGGATAGCTTGCGTATTCGTGTTGGTGTTGGTGTCATTGCCAGGCACGTCTGAAGGCCCTGCCGTGATGTACGAAATGAGAGTCTGTGTCTGATAGCTCGTAATCCTAATAGTGCTATCGATGACCGTGGAGCCAGGACCTGTTGTGGGCGAGGGGCTTGGGTAACCAGGAGTAGTAGACAATGACGCTGAATACGTGCCAGGGGCGGTACCCGAGGACCCTGTGGCGGTAGAAGACGTAGAATCCCCGCCTGTGTATGTCGGAGCAGCTTCGATAGAGCTTCCAGGTGGGGCAAAGTAGTTGCTTGATGAAGGTCCGACTGAAGGGCTTCCAGAAGGTAGAGCAGAGCTGGCACCCGGGTAAGAAGCTGTAAGGGAAGTAGGTACAGCATCCGTGTTCGACCTTGTCGGTGCAGCTGAGCTACCTGATGGCACGAGATATCCACTGGAAGACGATCCAGCAGGGCGAGATGGGGTAGCCAAGTAGCTCGATGACACTGTTGGTCCACTTGGGTATGGACCTGCCGGCGATGAGATTGTGATGGAAGTAGGTACGGCATCTGTGATAGAGCTTGATAACCTAGCTGAGCTAGCTGGCGGCACGACATAGCCACTCGACATTGAGCCAGTAGAGGCGGCTCCCGGAGACGTGGGCACGTAATCCGTATTGCTGTTTGGTGGCGCGGATGAGCCGGACGGTACGTAGCCTGGTGTTGAAGGAGTGGCTGGGTTACCAGAGCTTTGCCCTGACGAGGGGGTACCTATAGACGTAGGAACTGCATCCGTGTTGCTGACGGGTGGAGTTGCTGAGCTAGCTGGGAAAGTAGAGCCTGTGTATGACATGCTTGAGACCGCTGAGCTACCAGGGTTCACGGGACCTGGGTTAGTGGGTGATGAGACCAGCGAGCTGCCCGGAGGTGCGACATATCCACTTGAAGAGCCAATGGAACTAGGCCCAGCTGATGAAGCGGGATATGAATTGCTAATGGCGTTGGTGTTGGTAGATGAAGGAACCACGACGACACTGCTTGCTCCAGTCGAAGGCAATACATCTGTGATGATGGTGACTCCAGTGCTGGAAGATCCTGATGGCAGCACCACACTCACGCTAGGAGGCGTAGCATATGCGCTGGATGGGGAAACACCTGTTGGCAGAGCACTCGTCTGGGGAGCAGACCCACTGGGATATTCAGAGCCACTTGGGAAGATTTGAGACCCTGAGATGAGGCTGACAGAGATGCCCGCGGAACTGGTGGGGTAGGCGGAGCTAGCAACTGATGAAGGGGCAGCTGTAGTTGGAGGTGGCCCATACCCAGGAGGCGTCGAAGAAAGTAGACAGATTGTGGTTGTTGCAGTGACATAGACAACAGATGTCTCGGCAGTGGTGGTATAAGGAGGGCAGATCGCAATATCGGTGCAGATCTCCTGGATCAGGTGGGTTGACGTAACCATAACGACCGTGGAGTGGGTATCAGTGAGGGCACGCTCGACACCTGTTGATGTGTCAGCGTTGTTTGAACAACCAAAAAGCGAATGAAGGAGCAATGCTGTTGAGGGAACTGCGGGAAATAGACTTACGAGGAGCTGCAAGAGGCTGGACTGCAAGAACAGTACCCTCGAAGAGGGCGGCAAGATGAGTGACCTTCATGTCAAGCGACGAGCTAGCGGCTGTGGTGAGATGGGATTGAAGAGTGCACCGGATGGGCAGAGGTGAGCAAGATGACCAAAGGAGCAGGCCAGTTGCTGACAGAAGGGCGAGGATGAGTGTGGTAAACGAGTGTAGGAGGTTGGATGTAGAAGAGAGATGATAAACACTGGGCGATGGACTTTATCGGGGAGGCACGAGTGCCAAGGGATGGGTGACCACCGTGAGAAGCTTCGGGACTGAGGTTGGGAAGGTGCTCCCAGGTCATGACAGACACATTCGCACGGCAAGGGCAAGAACGCCGGAAGCCACCGAAGCGGATAAGACTACAGCTACGTCATGACAGGTCTTTCGCAACTCAAACTACAAGCGCGATTGCGGATAGGGAAGCTGCACTGTTGCATATGAGCGGACCTTCACCCCGATGCTGGGTAGGACTGGTGGCGAACGACCAAGTGCTGTTCAAACTCATATGTAAAGACCAGGAGGATCAGATGGAAGATGTAATTAGAAGAATGAGATTCTACATACATGCGGGTATACTGTAGCTTGTCATCTTGATGCTTTTAACCCAAAACGCCCGGATGTGCCAATCCGTGTATGGACACCCAAAAACCTAGCTCGGTGCCAGACGCTACTGACGTGTCGGCAAATACGCACCACCAGCAAGTACCAGGTTCATTCTAGTGAACTGCACCTTGTACACGGGACTGTCCTTGGTCGGAAATACGCTGATTTGGTCCGCCGAGACACCGGTCTCCTTGCTGGCTTTCTTCCCTGTGACTGTGGTTCCACTCGCGCCCTTGGTCGTCATAGCACCGTCCGCTTTCGCAGCCACGCCATCAGCGGCCTTGTCACTGGTCTCTTGTAGCACATCCCAAACACGGACTGTCTTGTCCGCTCCGGCTGAGACAAGGACGCTCGATTCCACGCTCCAAGATAGCGACCAAATACCACCCTTGCCGTGTCCTCGCATGCGCTTCCGCCTTCGTCCAGTCTCAAGAGTCCAGAGAATAATGTTACCTGCATCGTCGGCGGAGGCAAGCGTCCTGCCGTCGGGAGAACATGCTATGGCGGTCACATTGCCCGTGTGGCCCGTGAAGAGGCGTAGACAGTTACCACCGGCGATGTGCCACATGCGTACTGTGCGGTCGCAAGAACCAGTGAAGATGTATAGGTTGTTGGGATGGAAAGTGACGCAGTCAACGTCATTGTCGTGGCCGACATAGATGCGTAGAGGTTCAATGTGATCTGTTGACCACAAGCGTGCGGTGCGATCATTTGAACCAGTAAGGAAATAGTGTCCATAAGGTCCCCATTGCAGATCCCAGACTGGATTGTCGTGTCCGCGATAGGCTACAAGACATGTGTATGTGTCTAGCGACCAAAGTCGGACTGTTTTGTCCTCTGAACATGAAAGAAGGCATTCTGAATTTGTTGGTGGTCCGGATGGGTACGGGTTTGCTGTGGAAGGTGAGAAGGCCACTGCAGTGACTGGACCCGAGTGGCCGACAAGCCGTCTTGAAGACGATGGTTGTGCGTCTGGCGCATCGTTTGGAGAGGTGAGTGGACTGCCGTCCATGGACCAGACGCGTATGTAAGACTCGTTCATACCGGCCGCGACAAGCTGATTGTCACCAGAGAAGTCGATGCAGTTGATACTATCATCGGGTCAGCTGCATTTTCGGGACAGAAGAACGAGTGAACTTACCTGTCATAGGTGTTATGGAAGGTGTACATGGTGACGCTGACAGCTGGGCCAACACCGCCTGTTCTGCCTTCCATCTTGTAGCGATCTCGGTGCTCGATGATCTTCTGAACCTCCATGGAGACGTCGCGCGCAAGGGAAGGCGGCAGAGGAACGAACTCACGTGAGGGACCGTCTTCTGTTGGCTCCTGTTTTATGCGTTGCTCGAACTCCTCTACCAAGCTTGGCTGTCCCGGTCTTGGCGCGCTTTTAGCATCCTCGTCCTGTAAAGCTGCTCGGACGTCTTCCTGCAGATCCGCCTCTTGTGGGTATGCGCCTAGCTGCAGCCTTATACGGGCAGCCTCTGCCTCAGGGTCGTGGCGCGCAGTGAGGGGATGGCCTGGGGCGTGTCCTGGGATACCTTCGTCTTCTGCTGGAAGCTCGTCTTCGCCGTGTCCACTTGCGAGGATTGCTGCTATACTCTTCTCGGCTGTTGCCGTTCGGTCGACGGTTACGATGTTCAGGTGTTCCCGGATTACGTCTATGATTGTCGAACCGCCGTCAAAATGCTTCGACTCGAGGAACTGAATGAGATTGAAGAAGGGCATTGTCGTCAGCGTGATCCGATATTTGTTGTCGATGTATAGCTTCGCGATACGGCTCTCCTGCAAATGTGCTTGTAACCGGACCTGGCGAAGCGTTTTGATATCTTCGTCACGGTCGCGCTCGAAAAGACCCTGATACGTCGCGAAAAAGGTTTCTGCATCCTTGGTGTAGAAGTCGCGCACCATGTCGAGGTACGAGTAGACGAAAACAGGCCACAGCAGCTTTCGCAACTCTGGTCTATACAGATCCAGGTTGTCTTCGGTGTATTTGCGCAGGAGCTCGAATGCTTTCGTGTATCTCGCGCCGCCCGCTTCGGTGCTTTGCGCTACGAGGGATTGGCCGTTGGTCTGCGGTTCAGACTCTTTTCGAAGCATCGCCTCGGTGCGGACATATCCCTTTTTAGAGAGGTACTCCAGTACCTGCATGAATGTCAGCAACAGCCTTTTAAATCACGATCATCTACATGATGTCAAGCAGCAATCAATGCTTCAAGTGCGCAGTACCGAGGTGTGGCCACCGTTGTTGGTCGCATAACTCTTCCCGTACGCCGATGCGTTCATATTTGGCTGACTTTACGTAGTTGGGAGGGTCGGAGTTAGAGCGCGCGAGGAGTGGAACCGTCGCAGCAGGAGAGTTCCGTCGTGGTAGACGTAGCGGAAAAGTGCGCGCGACTTGAAAACGGGATCGCGCAAGGCAGACGGGAGTGTAAGTCGAGAATACGGCCAAGAACAGCTTTCTTTCACGAAACGCGACGGGCAGAGACCGCGCGGACAATGCGCCTTCACCCGCCGCAATTGTGCAAACCCTGACAATAGCAAATACGACCGCAGTGAGAGAGAAAATGCTGTACCTACAATCTGATTCAAGTTTTGCTGCGATTGCGGCCCCGAGGCACCTGGCGGCGGAGGTCCCCCTTGTGGAGGCATGGCGTTATGTGGTGGTAAACCTGCGCTGGGCGGTCCATTTCCCACGCTCATTTGCCTCACAGGCCCGGGCCCTTGAGGGGGCCCTGACATGGTTGTGGTGTTGTTCCTTCTCTTCTACGTCGGCAGGGAGCAGCTCCTTCACCTCGAGGCTGGGTGGAGACGGGTCGCAATGTGCATGGAGGGCCGGAAACGTCTCCCGATGGTCGCTCCTAGGTCGCAAGTGGTATTGGAGCTGTTTTGACGCGTGGCGACTTTGATTAGATGGGGGTATCGCGTCTGAAGCTTGCCAGGACGTCACCGAGGCTTGCCGTGATGCGGAGTGAAAGTCGGAGGTGAGGTTCGATGCGCGCGGCCTGCCAAGCATGCGCCGGTGCGCGCCTGCATTGCGGGCCCTGAGCTTCCCCAGCTTCGACTCCAAGACACCAGGCACACAGCACCCAACTGTCGCATTACTTCCTGACAAACGTGCTGCTGTCGCATACACTTCGAACTGCAAATCCGCACGTCTACCGATTGCTCTACCTCACTAATTATCCCTCCTGTCCACAATCGCCAAACACCCCGCCATGTCTACCGAAGCCAACCAACAAATCGCAAACGAGACGGACCAGCAGCAAGCCGGAGACGCGAAAGCATCTGAAGAGCCGAAAACGTACCGGGAAGTCGCCGCCGAACACATCGATACCCTCAACGAGATCAACCACCAAATACCCAAACTGCTCAAGTACTTCGCAACTGCCCTGAGCCAGCTCACCAACGATCCGATCCCCTTCCAACATGACGCCATGCAGTGTACACCGGGTACCCTCGAAGCGCGCAAAGAAGCCTTCCGAATCAATGCCCTCTTCTGCGGAGCATCCTGCGAAGTAATAAGATCAGAGTTGGTCAAGCAAATAAACGCTCTCGAACGCTACAAGGTCATACCGAAGAGCCATCCCAAGTTTACCGTCAATCAGAGACAGGGGCAGGGGCAGCCCCAGAAAGGCAAGGAAAACGAGAGTGAGGTCGTGGACCCAGAGAAGGAGGTCAAGAACGGAGGTTATGGCGAGTTTGACGTTGGTGTGTTGAATGCGAGGGCCAGCTCGGGACAGGTTGGGACGGAGGATGTGTTGGATCGTGCGAAAGCGATTCTGGAGGAACTACAGAAGCGGACTGGAGGTGCGGTGGGCGATGAAGAGGATATGGTCATCGATGGATGAGGAATCGTGGCGTAGTGATGTACGACCATCGAACCAAACAACCAAGCACCAAGCACACGATGCAGCGCGGCCCAGGCAAACCCATACGTTATACCCGACCTTACACGGCGCAGCGTACGGAATGGGGACTCTAGGGATGTACCTGGAAACTGAACAGCAGTCACAAGGGGCAGCAAAGCCGGAATAGAGGGCAACTGAACCTGGATAAACTCTATGCCACCCTGCCAACACTCCCGAGATGCAGCAGAGCAAGGAAAGTCATCATAGATGCGCAAAACTGTTCACATCTACAAGCGGACAGATGAACAGATCAAGTGATGTTCGATACTTTTACAAATGAATAATGCCGGCCCAACACCAGGGCCTCAGGCTTCGCTACAATGCTCCCGCTATACGTCTCCTTGTAGCGTTTAGTTCCCTTTCTCGAGTGCCTTTTTCATGATACCAATATCCTCGGGTGTGGTCCGACAGCACCCTCCGATAAGACCAGCTCCAGCCTCGTTCCACTCCATCGTCTTCTCAGCCAACGTCGAACCTTCCGTTCTCTTGCCTTCCCACTCCCTCGCCTTCGCATTCCATTGCTCACCAGAGTTGGGATACACCATCAAGGTCCCCCTCTTCACCAATGGCTTCAAAGTCTTCAGAGCAGCCAACCCCAAATCATCTGGCACACAGTTGAAGCCTAGAGCAACTACCTGTTCCACATCATCAAAAAGTGCTGCGATCTCAGAGATGGGTGTGCCGTCGCTGATGTGAGAGCCATCCCGTAATGTGAAGCCAAACCAAGCTTCCGTGTTAGGAAATTCTGTGGTGAGCAGGTCGAGGAGAGCTTCAGTTTCGCCTTTGGATGGTATCGTCTCGATGCCTAGGATGTCGGCGCCGGCGGACACGAGGGCTTGGATGCGGCCGCGGTGGAAGTCCTTCATTTCGTCTTGAGGAATGGAATAGTCGCCTCGGTATTCTGAGCCATCTGAAAGGAATGCGCCATACGGGCCTACGCTCCCCGCTATGAACAATTTACTTCGAACATCCTCATTTGTCTCGGTGACATATTCGTCTCTTGCTCGCTGGGCTAGTTCCACGCTTTTGCTTACGACTTTCCGGGCTTCTTCTTCACTCAAGCCCAGGTGCTTGACTAGTCCCGGAATGGAGGCTTGGTAGGATGCTGTGATTGCAACATTTGCGCCTGCGCGATAGTAGTCGAGATGTGTTTGTTTTATGAGGGCTGGCTGATCAAGCAGTATGGATGCGGACCACAATGCGCCGCTTATGTCTGCTCCCAAGGTCTCCAGGTATGTTGCTAGCGCGCCGTCCAGGATTATGGGGAAGCCTTTAGCGACGTGGGCAGATAATGGGTTTGGTGCCGGTGACGATGCCATGATGATTGTCGTGGAATTCTTTGTGTGTATCCAAGAGATGAGAAGATGAAGTCCTTCTTAGTAAATGGGAAGTTACAGAACAGTAGTGTTGAAGCTGTGTGCTGAGATTTAGTCATAATCCGATGTGCGGAGTTTCGAGCGCCGATGCTCAGTGGGCATTCGACATCAGAAGACCGTTCTACTTGGAGGGTGAATGGCTCTACTTCGTTTACATTATGATCCCAGCCAAACAATATCACCCACCATGGAGCAATCAAAGATACTATGCCGCTGCCTGACTTGGTCGTTGATTGTGTGGAAGAGGAGGGTTGGGGGAAGAGACGAATCAGAGATTAGCGCGAATCCGAGGTGCCCCTGCCGTCGCGTCGCGTGCATTCCTTCCACACGCGACATGCGCAACACAGCTACCGCAGTAAAGAAAGTAAGCGCCTCTAGCTCGCATCTATCAGTCTGCAGGCAATTGCTACACACCTCTACAACGTAATGTTCATCGGGTGTTATCGACCCAGCTCACCGTCCCAATCGAGGAAAGAACTGATCACCCTGGAGCCTATATTGACGCCAGATTTCTCAATTGCTAGTTTTATCCCAGCCTAGTCTTCAGACCTGTTCGGATTTGTTCCTCGTATGAGGTGTCAGCATACCTCAAGTCTCAGTCAACAGTCTAACCGTACCCGCTCGCTTCACCAGTCAAGCAATCATGGAGAGCTTTGACCCGTCATCGGGACTGGTCTTTAGGGAAAGTACGACGGCTTCCGTCCGCTCGATGATACCGACATGGATGGACAATTGTCGTGGTAGAAGGGTGGACCCATCAAAATACCGCCGCTCAGCTCGAGGATGCGATACACTGCAAGAAATGGCACTCCGTGCTTGTGTCTGGAATATTGAGAACATGGACGTTGAAGCTGTGCAGTGGCTCGGATGGTCCTATGCCAGCCGCTTATACGACCATCTCAAGTACAACGACACACTGTCCTTCCGTACATGGAGTCTCTTCCAGAAAGCTTTTCCAGAAGACATCGACCGTCACTCTAGATTCAGAGTCCAGGACAACTCTGGAGGTCTCCTACCCTCTGTCGTCGATCGATTGGCCAAGCTCGACGCCCGCACGCTGACATTTCTGTGTATTCGGGTCTCCGATATAACGATTGACCAACTTGTTGCCCTTAACAAGATCGAGACGCTTGCAGTTCTCACATTAGAAGTTGGAAGAAGCCGGCAGAACGCATCACTATCACTTCAAATGATGCGCGACTGGGGACGAAGTGTTGGCGAAAGTGGTGCAATGAAGAGTCTGCGCGTACTTGTCATCAACAACTACATCAGGCTTCCGAAAAGACCAGTCTTGGAGTTCATCTCGTCCTTTTCAGGTTTAGAGCTAGTTGGAATCCACAGTCCACAGTTACCCGAGCCTGCAGAGTGTGGGGAAGGCTGGGAAATACATTCAGCTTCAGCCCTCCTAAGCGAATGGAGTAGTTCCGGTCTAAGGAGAAATACTGCCGTACAGCAACTATACGAAGCATCTTTTGTATCCTCTTCCGAAACATCACGAGACGCTACTACTAGTGGCTGCAAGATATACCGATCCCTCTCCTTTCAGTACGCTCAAGGGAGCAAGAATTCGCGAGACGACGATGTCGCGTGGTTTGTACGGAAACAACAAGCTGAGCGGCCAAACAAGCGTGCCCGCGAATACAAACCCCCACCAGACGGCGGCAAAAGGAGGGTACGTAACGACAAGAAGGTCGACATGGGTTCGCTGCTGGGTAGTTTTGGTTGATTATGGTACAAGCCGGAAACCACATGGTCTGTTATAGGAGTAAGAGCAAGGTGCCATTATACAGCCAGAAGACATTTGGTCTCTATTTGGGTATTCACGTTAGTAGAGAACGACACTGTATACCACCAGGTTACCTCATGTCACATAAGATCTACCGCCTGAGCTCTGTCACGCCTTCCGATGCTGTTGAAGCTGTTCCACCATACACGCTTCGCACACTTCCTTTCACTCTCATGTGAGACGGAACACGTGTTTTGTTTGCCAGATGGACTCATGGGCGTACACCAGTATGTTCTTCCCTCAGGGTCCGCACGATGAGGAGCGTGATCCCCCTAGATGGTCTCTCACTTGGATCTAGTGGACCAGAAGCTGCGTTTGTATCGTGAAAGGAAACAAAGACTACGTCATAGCTATGGTCAAACTGCCTGCCTAAAATCCTGGCGATAGTGTATTGAGTTTGTACCTTTGTCTTACAAATTCTTTTGTAACAGCCTACCCTTTGCACCGATCACACATTTGCAACCACGCGGACTTTTCTCACCACAGTCAACCAAAGTAACGAGTCCAAGACACCCTTGCTATGGATGACACAACGGAGAATACATCGGAGAATACACCGGAGAACACACCGGAGCGTTCGAAGACAAACCCAACTACCTTGTTCGGTCAGCCCGGAAGCATTCCTAGTGACACACCGATTCCAGGAGAATCTAGAGTGATGGGTTCTGAGTTTGACTCTAGGCTCACCGCGCCTGCAGTTCAGCAGGTTCCTGGTAGCTTGTTTGGGTAGCACAGTACTAGTGGCTTGTTTGGAGGTAAGGCTGCTGCTCAAGTCGCTGCTGCTCAAGCAACTGGGCAGCCGATTTCTGGCGGGCTGTTTGGTGCTCTATCAAACCGAAACCTATTCGGCGGATGTACCGAGCCGCCACCGCCGAATAGCGCAAATGCTCGTCCACTCTTTGGGTTCGGCAGCTCATCTCATTCCAAGCCTGACACCGGAGGTGGAATCTTCGGCAATATTGATCAGGCTAGCAACTCGCGCAAGGGAGATCTGTTCGGACATGTAGCGGCCGTGGATAGTGAATATGCCCGCGCCGATCAGCATATGTTGAAAGTACCGGATGTTCGCGTCGTCGAAGACCAGGCAGTCAAATAGGTACCTCTCCCCTGTATTTTCCCTCTGTAGAACTAACAATAGTAGCTTCGGATGTGATCTCCTCACCATCCACGTCGGCAAGGACGAGCGTACACGAACCTTCAGTATCCACTCTGAGCTCCTCACTGCCCGGTCAACCTACTTCAAGGACTTGATATCCAACGAAGGTGACCAAAAGACATTTGATCTGCCTGAAATCAACCCTCGCGCGTTTGCTCTATACTTCCAGCTCATCTATACCGGTCGCATTCCAAGTAAACCTAACGACGCATCCGATGCTGAACACGACGAGTACGCCCTTCTGTGCAAGCTATACACTATTGCCCACCTTGTCAAAGACGCTAATGCCAAAGATTCTGCCCTGGATGCTATTCTCGTCAAGGCTACTGAGAGCGCTGAGATCCCATCAAGCGAGCATGTATGGATCGTCTACGCCGGCACTGAAGGGCCCTGCAAAGGTCGGAAGATGATGGTCGAGTTCTATACCTACAAGGCTACTGGAGAATGGATGAGAGCACAAGGCGAGGACGCACATGGACGAGGTTTTCCACCAGAGTTTTGGAGTGAGCTGGCAATGAGCTTGGTGGACAAGAGGAGCCTGGCAAATCGACGGATGGCTGGCATGGACGCAAATGAATACCACGGACAGTGAGAAGGGATGTTAGATAGGCGAACAGATACACTCGCGCTGTTGGATGTTGGATGGATAGCCTAGAGTTGCGAATGGTATCGAAGCGCATACGAAACAGATGTACGAGTAACAGCATGTGGCTCTCAGGCCGGCTGATGGCGAATGAGGTCTTGAAAACACCACTGAACATCTTGCTTATCGTCACTTATGACTTGCTTCGGGACTTCCTGCTTTCCAATACTGCCAGCGGATGACATCGTAGCACTGATCCAGATGACATCGATCTCGATCTGAAACCAATGGTTTACCCACACTCCAGTGGAAGCTTCCCGAAAGTCAGCGAGCCACTCCCAACATGCTCATGAGTCGTGGATGAGCCTTCTGCAGTTTGACTAGTAATGATGCCCAAAGCCTCTTGATGGACTATGCGCATTTGTTGAGGCGAGTCACAGTGCGCGTGCGCGTGCGTGATGAGATAGTGACACAAGATAAGAGAACGTCATGTCGGGAAGATAGTCATGCCTTTGACCAGTACCCAGAACTCGGGATTTGCGGCAACGCAGCTGAGCATTTCACACGTGGACAAGCGAATGCGAGGAGTGGTGAATGAAGGATGTCCCTAGGACACTCAGCAGCGCTGATGACTGTTTCGGGCCTTGTGCCTTGGCAGCGGGGCTTAGACCGCCTGCGGGCTCCCCCAGATGGTCCCCTCGCCACCCTTCCCTCTTGGCCGATTAATACCCTCCACGCTCCACCCAACTACTTGCGACCTTCCTCACACACGCGCACTCTCCACTTCCCGCGACACGACAACCGCCTGCCCTACCGCACCCTTTCAGCACCCGCAGAGCGCCACCAGTCGATTTCATGACCACGGACATCCAGAATCTCAAGTCCTTCGATCCGTTCGCGGAGGCTGATGATGCTGGAGGAGAAGTAAAGTCCACTCAGCAGAACTACATCCATATTCGTATTCAGCGTACGTATCCCCTCTGTCTTCTTCCTCCCCGAAATTCGCATGTGTGCGACATCGGCGCGCCGTCCCTTCCCCTCTTTCCCCATGTTTCAAGAAATCGCGCAAGGCTGACGTCAACCCCCAACAGAGCGTAATGGTCGTAAGACTCTGACCACCGTCCAAGGACTGCCCAAGAAGTTCGACCAGAAGAAGATTCTCAAAGTCATCAAGAAGAAGTTTGCCTGCAATGGCACCGTCGTCGCAGACACTGAGATGGGAGAGGTGATCCAGTTGCAGGGAGACCAGCGCAAGGATGTTCAAGACTTCTTGACCGACAAGAAGGAGGGCCTGGGCCTTGATGGCAAGACCATCAAGGTCCACGGTTTCTAAACCCACAAGGACGTGGATGCGATGCGCACCGCCGCTCCTCCCGCCGAAGCCGAACGACCGCTCCAAGGTCTTGCCAACAATGCGGCGGAGGAAGAGCAAGCCGGCATGTCGCACGTGTGTGGCTCACACGCGACAGTGCTGAGATGCGGTGCGCACGAGCAGATACCCCACGTTCGAGGAGGATAACGATTTTCCTATCTCCATCTCTTTGAAGGAATCGGATACGACGTTTGAAGTTTCGCAGGCTGAAGTATCAGCGCTGCAGGATACTGAGGGAGAGACCAAAGTGGTAGTTTCGGAGGATACATTCAATCAAAGATTTCTTTACTACGATCATTTCAAGTGACGATGTTGTCTCCAGGGTCTCTAACCATTACTGTGCCATGCAATCCCTTACTCCACGTCTTCATCTTCAACCTCTCTGATAGTCTCATCTTTCTTAGGTGCCTTGGCCTCTTGTTTCCGATACAAATTAGCCAGCTCCTCTGCCTCAGTAGCCTCCTCGATGCTCTTGTCTTCTCTGACTTTCAGGAACCTGGGAAACCTAGTACTCAACCCCCTGTCCTCATTGACCAACCCAATCGCAGCCGTATACGTCGGACTCAGCGTCAAATCTGCAAAAGCTACCTCCCACACCTCTTGCGGCTCAAACCAAACGGCGGGTGTTCCCGCTCCGCCATTATACTCCACATAGTGCGGTTTCCCAGCTAGTACGGTCGTGGAATCCGGGTCGTCTGGATCGTACTTTGCGCGGTTCGCTTTGTAGAACGCGTCCGTGAAGCCGGACATGCATTTTGTGACTGCTTCGAGTTGTCCAGTTTCCGCGTTGCGGATGGCGAGAAGAATAGGTGACCACCATGCTGCTTTGCGACCAGAGCCGTGGAAGGCGGCGATGGGGATCAGGTCGAGGGTTTCGGAGGTGGTGCTGTAATCTTTCTTTACTTTGAGCCAGCTGTCGAGGCGTTTGTCCGGCTCGTAGGTCGAGAGGAGGGCTTTGCGGCGGCCGGACATCTTCGGTTCGTCTGTTTCGGTCTCCGTAGCTTTCGTCTTCGTTTTTGATTTCGCGGGCTTTTTCTTCTTTGGCGTTGGTGGGAGGGAAGGCGTCTTTTCGATGGCTTCGTCGGTTTCCGCGAGGAGGTCGGGGTTGGGTAGGTTGTCGAGGATCTTGACCATGATGCCTTCGCATTTGATGTCCAGGGCGCTTTGGAAGAAGGATTGTACTGCTTCTACGTCGGCGGACGTGGCATCTAGACTCTTGACCCAGGTGAAATGGTGAGGGATTTCGACAAACAAGCTTTTAAGTAGCGATCTCCGTTCTCTAAAAGGCCGGTTGAGCAGTTCCTCGCCGTTCAGGTACATTAAATCGAATGCAAACAGGCAAACGTCGATAGTCACCGCGCCGATAACGACGTCTTTCCTCGCACGATTTGCGAGTGTCTGGAAGGTCTTGAGATCTCCGCTCTCGCGATCAACAGCAACAACTTCGCCTTCGAGGATGAAACTTGAGACGCCCTTGCCACGTATCTTGGGCACCAGTGCTACCAGATCAGGATACTTGTCGGTCATCACTTCCAGATGGCGCGAGAAGATCGTAACTTTGCCCTTGTCGTCGCAGTGTACCTGAGCTCTTTGTCCGTCGTATTTGTACTCGCAGGCGAAGTCTCGTCCTTGTAGTTTGGTGAGCATCTCGCCCATATCTCGCGTGATGCTGCCTAACATGGGCCTGAGAGGGATGTGTAGCGACAGCCCACAGCGCACAAGTAGTTCGTCGCAAACACCAATTTCGAGAAGTACGGGTATAAGGTCATTGTAGTTCGGTCGTCGAGCGAAACATGCCTTCACGATCTCCTCATTCCTGCTGTAGATCTCCGCGAGCTCCTCCTTCTTCAATTTCGCCAGGTCCTTCCGATCACGGATCTCGAATTCGGCACCTGTCGGTTTCGACAGCATAAAGGCCCGTGACAGCGCGATGAGCATTGTGGTTTTGACAGCTCCAATCCGCAGGTGTTGCACAAGCGTGCGTACGATGTATCGACTCTCCTCAGCACCTCGCGCATCTTGTACCAGTCTCTCAACAATCCTCTGCTTGTTCTCTACGCTGCCATGGCCTTTGCTGTTCGCAATCTTGACTAGCGAGTCGAAGACGCTCCTGATCGTGAGAGGCTTCGGTTTACGCAGGGTAAAGCTCTGCTTCTTCTTTGCCTCGAATGCTACATCTCCAGCGTCGCCATATTTGGCGTTCAGCACCTTCAAGCCTGCATTATCCAGTCCGCAAACTTTCTTGAGCGCTTTCGAGATCGCCGAACCTCCCAACCCAAGTTCCAGATCGATGTATGGGGGCGATATTGCGTTCGTCGCGAGCCATACCGCCGGGAGTAAGCTGCTAGGGTCGCTTTCGATGATCGTTCGAATGAGGTTGACCAGAGTGTCAACAATCTTAATGCGACTCGTCGTACTGTTCACTAGGATGAAACATCTTGTCAACAGCGCATATGTCGCGTGCCCTCCGTCGACCACCCAATGCTTTTGTAACTCTGGTATGTATTCCGAAGGGTCGAATTCGAGAGGGCTCTGGTCGAAGGGTATGTTCGCTGTGATTACGTCTTCTTCGGATGCGGTCGACTGAAGAGACAGCGTGTTCTTCTTCTGGGTAGGCTCGGTAGGCGACGTGTTTTCTAGGGCCGGTTCGCGCGTTGGCAATGTTGACACTCCACCCTGTCCTTCGGCATCTTGAGGTGCATCCTTCGTGATGGCCTTCTGGGGCTCTTCGTATAGCTCATTCGAGCTCACCGGCTCCTGGTTTTGCGCCTGCTGTTGATCTTCCTTGTCCCATTGCTCCTGGAGTTTGCGCGCGAGCTCCTCGTCGGTCAGCCCTGTGTTGTCTTCGTCCACAGGCGGCTCGCTCGGGCCTGCGTTCGTCGGCGCATCTTTGGCTGTTGCTTTAGCCGTCTGCTTCGCGAAAAAGTAGTCTAAACTTCGTACCGGCTTCCCGGAGCCATCGTTTTTCTTCCGTCGTTTGGAAGGGCTGTTCATGACGTGAAGGCTGGTTCGAGCGACATAGCCATTAGCAAAGCGGGTGGCATAGGGGAGTGTGGTACGTCATGACGCGGGCGCTTGGACCCAGCCAAACTCCATCTCACGTGCACACGCGTCGATCGACTTAAACATCCTCAGATTCATCTCATTTTTTCCTCCACGCTCACATCGTACCACAAGACTCTGACAAGCACACCATCTAGCGTAAAGAAAATTCCGAGGTGGTCGAAATGACCAAGTGCTCTAAGCACATATCGGAGACCAGCAATCCTCTGCGCTGAGAACAGGATCGCGCCGGGACTCAAGCTCATCCAAGGTGAAGATGGATCGGCCTCTGAATCTGTCACACCATGACCCTGACAACGAGGTCGAACTGATTCCCAAGCTGTGCTCTTCGTTTCTCGAACTTCCGATGGCCAGCCATCCCCTCCAAAGCACCATATTTTCCTAGTCATAGTAGTCGAGGTCAACGATCTCCGTCTCTACCACGGGCTTTTCTGGGCGCTCGACAGGTCGCATGCGCTTGTTATTCCGGCCGTAATAGCCATCGCCACGGGGACCAGATGGAGGCCGACCTTCTGCGCCTGGTGCATCACTCCAGCTGCGTAGAAGACCCTGCGTATCATCGTTCGGGCCGCGGATTCGGTTCTCGTGCGCCGCGTCCCACAACTCGAATATGCCGGTTTCCGCATCGGTGTGTCCTTGCTGGCCTCGTATCTGAGAACCCACCGCGTACTTCACTACACGCCCGAGTTAGTGACGCTCAGAGGTGTCGAAGTTTTTCACGGTATCGATGGTGTCGAGGAACTCGAGGTAGAAGAGAACGTACGAAAGAGCTTCGCTGTGTCCTTTTGAAGACCGTCCACAAGTGTACGAACCGCCACAACTTGACACAGGCTGAGTTCCGTGCGCAAAAGCTTTGTTTGGCCTTCTTGGTTGCAGGTCAAGATGGCGGCGAACTTCTTGGTGTCATCATCTTCGCAGATCACGATATCTAGCGTTGTGTTAGGCTCCTTGTTGAGTAATGATGAGGGACTCTGTTCTTACCGTAGAACTTGAAACGTTCGCTGCCGTAAAGAAGACGACAGTTGCCAAGACAAATCTCTTTGAGGGTCTGGACCTTATCAAGCTGACGTTGTTAGCCAACTAGGATGCTGTAGTGAAGAAGTAGTATACTTTTTCCGTGCTCTCCAGCCATGGCTGTTCGCTAATGTTCATCGCCGACGTCTGGCGTACCAGTTCACCATCTTCTACGTCATTGTGTGAGTGCATGGGGACGGGCATGATGATCACTCCGATGTTGTCGCTGGGAAGATAGAGCTAGTGTTGGAAAGATTTCGATAGGTTGAGGCCGAAGACTGTCGTGAACGAGCGTCGATCGTTCGTTCAAGTCGAAGGTCGAAAGTCAAATGCTGCGTTGAGTTGTTGATAGTGAGGTGGCGAAGAGTGAGAAGAAGAAGACTAGTTGAAGGTTTATATGGCCGGCGAGGATCAGCAGTTCGGGCCCAATACACACTGTCAAACAGGTAAAGGCGCTACTTTCTGCGGCATCCCAGGGTAAGAGAGCGGCATGAGGTCCAACGGCAAGACACCTGATCACGGTGAGTTCACGATCTCGACCTTGGACACGCGGGGTATACGCTTACCACTGATTCGGGTGTTCATACGGTAGACTGACGGCATCTATGGGGAACGGTGTTGAAGCGCTGCCAAAAGCGGCTTGCCAGGACAAATAGCGTTTGCAGAGGTGTCGAAGACCTATCGCTAACACGATCTGATGTAACGCCGCAACAAGGTGCCGCCAATCAGCGAGAAGTCGTACAATCTCTTTGCTCATTGTTGGATCTCTCCCCTGCATCACTCCAGGAGTCATCTGTAGTGGTATGACTAATTGATGGTATCCATTCATAGATCAAAGTGATTGCAAGGCAAACGACCTGATTCATAGTTTCATACTCGAAATAATTGGCTTTGGGGCCAGAGGTTGATCCTATTCCTATACAGTAGCATGAAGCTTACCCGTGGGCCCATACTCCTTCATCAAGCCCTTCAAATTCACGTCTTCAAAGCGAACTCTTCTTCCCCAAGTTCCCTGAACTCAGCGAATGTCCCGATCTGTTTTCCTTCAAATGACCATCCGTAGCCTACTGCCGCTCTTTTCCCTGCCTTACCGTTAGTTTCGCTGAGAACCTTCGTTACTACTTATCCGGCACCTTACTGGTTGAACACGATACCAATACTCCTAGAAGAGTCGCCAATTTCTCAACTGCATCCTCGACGTTCTGTCCCAGACATGCTCTCAAGACGTCCCCCTTGTCCCGACGGCCGTCTAGTTGGACTTCATAGCGTACAAGACGAGCTTCCGCGAAAGTATGATCGCGACGCACGCAGTCTATCCCGGTACGTGTGTGGTACTGGAATTTGTGGAGCCGTCGATCTTTACGTCCAGGAACGATATTCGTAAGAACAGAGTAATAGGCATCGCCCCAGAGGTAGTGGCCACGTTCTTTGATCTGCTCGTACAACGGCATGACTGCGCTGGGACCAAGCTGAGAGCCCGGTGTCGGCATGAGAGAAGAAGAGGTACTCTGCGCGGAACTTGTGTCAGGCTGAACTGGCTGCGAAAGGCTTGATGGTTGCGTGGTCGCAGGCTGAGCGAACGTGCCCCTGGCATCGCTTGTAGGGCCAGTATTGGTAGAGTTGTCTACATCTTATCAGCGGCAGTCAGAAGCCTTCACTACGCAGACCCCTAATCCGAAATTCATATATCCGCGGCTCCTAGATAGAGCCCGCACTCGGTTTAGGGACTTCTCTCAAGGATCTTTCGATTGTGTTTGTAGCACAAGCATTCGATCCGGATGGCTTGCTTACCTGGACGCCGTGGAGAACTCGTGTTTCTGTTGTTGCTGAACAGGTTTCTGACGACAAATTTGATCGAACGTGTGTTGTTTTGAGCCATCGTAGCCGTATGTACAGCTGTGTTTTAGATGCTGGTTCGGTAGGTATATTGGCCACGCAAGTGCGTCGATGAAAGTGTACTTATTAACGATGTTGACGATACTGACGAACGGATGTACACTTGATAGCGGTAATGACATGCGATGTTGACTGATCTGTGTACATTGTGAGTGATCGTGCCTTTGCACTAGCGCGGGATTTCGTCCTTGATAGAAGTGACGGTGCGAACACCTGGGTAGTCTTGCAAAGTCGGATAGGCGCGTGCGAGCATTTGGCAGTAACACTCTTATGAACGCCCAAGAGTGGCATTGAAAAGAACGAGCTACCAACTGTGCGATGACCCATATTTTACGACCGTTCTTGTATAGCTTCCTCTTTCCACTATCGAGAGTGAAGGCTACCATTTGTTGGATCGTGGCCAATGCTCTCCACACAGCGGTGAACAGTACGAGACTGAACACCAGGCCCCTTGGTAAACACGAACTCTTATCTTCAGGGCAGTGTGTGAATTATCAGGTGAACACCGCACCTGTCAGCGAAGCAAGACACTGGGCTTGTTCAAACCATCCATGGATACATTTCCATTTGCGTTGCATGCCTGTCAGGCTCAATGTAGATGTGACATGCCATCTGCCGCAAGGTCAATCGAACGAAACTCTGATGGACATTTGCGAGGAGCAAAGATTCGAAGACATAGATGTTGTAATGCGAGTTGGGAAGCCAAGAGGTTGTCCAGACGCGAATAGAAAACGAATGACGTTGTCAGCGCACAGACACAATCTCGCAGCCGGCGGAGCGCAATGAGCACCTGGGCATGCAGACTTGCTCACATACCGTCAACCAGTAAGTTCGGGCCATGTACATTGCCTGCAATTCTGTAGAGATATAACCGCTTCTGTATACGATCCACACGATTACTACGCCCTATCCGCACGACACGACGCGCCGAACCGTCGAATCATCCCCGACCCGCATAACACCCGCGACGCGCTTTGCACGAGCAATGACGAACAGAGGCGCCCTTCGAAATGGGGTCGTACCGACGCTCGCTATAAACACCCTCTACGAAAGAAGATGAATCGGACAAGAATGCGCATGGCTACGTTCTCTGGCGCCTCAATAGCCGGGGGCACTGTGTTGAGATGACGGAGGACCTTCGACTCGACCCCTCGGGACAGGACTATCTATGCGTATCGATCGATCACCAGTATCTTCAATATGAGACGGGTCTGACAAGACTCTTCGGCCCACCGGCGGTGTAGGCGCGGTCAACCTGATATGTGGTGTCGGAAGGGATACAACCCGATTATCTCTTTGCCGGGACGGCCGTAATCCTTCAGTCTGCCTAGGTGTGGCTGCCACAACTCCGCTAGGCTGTGAGTAGGGAACACTGCCATATTGTGCCGCGGACTGGGTGTTTTGCATATAGGACTGCGTCCTGTAAGCATCTGGCGGAGCGTATGGCGCATACCTGGTCACCGGGGGAGAACCTGGAGCTAGCTCGCTCGGCGGTGGCGATCTTATACCGAGCTCACTCCTCTGTAAGAGCAGAGAGAGGTCGCTTTGTGGCGGGGACACAAGAGCATACATATCTTGTTGCGGCGGGCCTTCGGCACGTTGGCTCCGCCTCACAGGATCTTCCGGGTAACGCATTGGAGGGTCAGGATTCGTGGTATACGGAGCTTGTCTCGAGCTGTGCGCATTACGCTGCTCTTGTTGCAGCGGTTCCAGGCCATGCTGCGTCTGTTGTGGAGCAGTTGTACCAAGTTGGGTCTGCCGCATGGAGTCCGTGGCGAACCGGCTTCGCTGCGAAGGATTCCGATCAGACACTTGCCCGCGCCTCTGGTTCTGGCGTGAAAATGGCACATCATCTGGACGTTCCCGAGGGTGCTGACGACTGCCAAATGACGAAGGCGCTGACCGCTGTGCTGTCGACTCTGTCGGACCGCTCATCTCGTATGGGGCTCGAAGAGGGACTATGTTACTCAGGTCCAGCTCCCACGGCTTGATCCTTTCCCAATCTATCTTGTTGCCCTCCAAAAGCCGGCGCTTGATGACTTGAAATTTCTCATATTCCAAGTCAGTGGCGAAGTACTCTCGACGGTCCCAATCCTGCACCATCTTCCGTATGTCTGCAAGCGCAGCTACTGATTTCCTCATGTTCTCTTCCAGATTCTCGCGCGCATATGCCTTGACGTTTCTTTGCTTCAGGATCTCGACATCCAAACTGTATCGGTATCGAATTCTCTCCCTCAGCTCCCGTATGTTCTCTGCCGTCACGAGTCGGGCTGGGACCGGTGTTCGCTGAGGTGTTCGAGGACTAGAATCCTGCTGAGTAGAAGGTAGTGGGGGAGTGTCTACTTCATTGAGTGCTGGCAGTGGCGCTGGACCCTGCGAAGTCGGCGTTCTTTTTATCTGCCAAAAACTCTTGGTCTTTTTCAAGAGGCCCATGACTATATTCAATGGACAACCCGCCTTCAGTCTGTAGTGGTGGACGCCAAACTCTTGTTTCGAACAAATGAGACCTGGGAAGAGAAGAAAGATGGGGAACGGAGCTGGCCCTCTGAGAGGAAAAGAGCGAGGCTACCGAAGCCACCAGGCTACCTCGATCAAGAGACGGCTTCTCAGCCCACATATGCTGTTCCGCGTCCTCTAGTAGCTGCATGCGCGTGCCAAGAACTTTAGCAAGAAGGCTGTGGCTGCTTAAGAATTGACGCTTACAGTCTACCGAGCCCAGCCTCTGAGGACGGCACACACCTTTCGCCTCTATCCTTGAAAGACGCTGCAGGCGCACATGGCCAATGCTCATGTGGTGCCTGGTCATCCAGCCGTTCCGACAATGTGCCCGGTTAAGCGCCATAGGAAGTCTACCTTCCTCTCGCAATACGGTCCTGGCATTCGGTATTGCGTCCAATCACACAATGGGCATGATGTTGACAGGTAAACCTTGGCTTCAAGGCTGTGTCGGCCATTGCTTGTATCGCGAGGCTGCGTTGAGAATCACGAGCCCTAAAAGCAGTCACAACGGCTTTTGGAAGTAACGCGTTCATCATATCTTCGAGTTGGGTGCAAAGACGTTGAATTCTTCATCGACTATCGAACAGAATAAGACACTTTCGCAGCCTGGCAGCCCGGAATCACTTCTCCGCTAGTAAGGTGCTCGCCTTTCGAATTTCCATACCGCTTCAACTCCGGGTTGAGAACTAATGTAAGAGCGCGCTCTTTCGTTTTAGACTGCGATAACAAATCTCCGCTTCCATCGGGTAAGCTCGCAATCAACCTGTAAGGCTGCGAACAAAACTCCATCCAGGTTTTCGCACAAAGTCGCACGAGACTTTCCAGCATCTTAGCTTGCTTATCTTTGAGGATAGCTACCTTTCCCAGAGCATAGTGTAGAGCGTCGAGTAATTCCAAAATGGATCTTTCGTAGCCATTTTTGAGTCGCATATCATCCCCCGATGGCCGGGCAGATGGTTCTATAAAGATCAAGAATTGCTTGGCCGTCTCGTACCGCCTTTTCTCGATTTCTTCTGGTATTTCGGGCCACTTGAGACTGGAAGTATCTTACAACCTGTTAGCTCAAAAACGGAGAAGAGCGACAATCCAGGACTTACTGGACGTGTGGACGTCTATCCACTCACGGTCCAAGTCTGCTCCTTCTAGACCTAGGATTCTGAAAGGACTGACGAAGATCCAACCATACAGCAGGGCCCAGATAGTGTTTTGAACGATTTGCTTCTTCAGTTTTCGTGTGTTCTCGCGATGGATGTCGAGTAGCTGGTGCTCGCTAAATGGCCAGTCTAAGGTACCGTCCCACTCTACGTTCGCAAAGTCTTGTACTTGATCTGTGATACTGCGGAATAGGTTGGCTAAATCACGATCTTTCAAGCCTCTGAAATGCTGCCTGTGAAATAATCCTTGTTTCAGCTCCTCATTGTCAGTGCGGAGCTGGAATGTTTCCTGCGTGTGCTTCTTGGACAGTTTTGCCTCCTGCCGTTTGAGCTCTTTCTCACGTCGCTTTTGTTCTTCTTGCAATTTTGCCTGCTCAGTTCGCAGTAGGTCATGCAGTCGCTGTTCTTCGCGCTCCGCCTCGAGCTTGAATTGAGCAACGCTTGCTTGGTGTTCACGCACTATTCTTTCAAGCTTTTCCTCTTGTTGTTGCATTTGCTGGGCGTGTATTTCGTACTCATCCTTCAGCTTCTCATCAAAGCTCGCCTGGTAATTCCGCATACTAGCTTCGTGGGTCTCTTTCACTTCTCGTAGTTGAGCTTCCCATTTCCATTGTTCCTCACTCAGCTGCTGTTTAAGACTGCTGAAGTTCTGCTCAAGTCGCTTTTGCTCTTCATGTCGAATTATTCGTAATCGTTCTTCGTACCAGGTCTTGATCCTCTCGTTCTCGTTGTACAGCTTCGCTGTCTCGATATTGAAGTGACTCTGGTGTTGTTGCTTCAACTTCTGCATCTCGCTTTCCACGTAATGCCGTTCTTGTTCGCGTTCTGATTTCTGATTCTCAAGCATGTCCCGAGTATTTGACAATTCTTCGTGCTTACTACTGGCATCCGTCTTCAGGTCCTGCACTTCGCTTTTACTGACTCGCAGTGCATTCTTCAAAGTGTGTACTTCGTTCTTCAAGTCATTCACGATAGCTGTATCAGTTCTGTACTGATTCAACGACTGATGAGCCGCATGGAGTGCTTTATCAAGCTCACGATATTGACTCAGAAACCTCTTAATGCCATCTTCCGTCGTTTCTCCAGGTGGTGATCGCAATGCAGGGAAGTCATACCCAGCCCGTAAAATAAGCTCCTGGGTTCGTGGTATGCTGTGATCAATAGCTGAGGACTGTGAGTAACCTCCAGTCAGCCCTGATCAGTCCAAGAAGTGGTATGAAAATTCGACTCACCAGTCTTCTGTGACCATCTGTTAAGCCTGCGTTATAAGATAAGGTCGCTCCTGTATAGGGACTGGAAGTGTCAAATGAACGCGCCTTCTCAATTGTCGCATTCCTATTCATGCGTAATGGTGAAGGATCCATCTCAGGCGCATGTATCTGTTCTGGGTGAAAGCGAGTATCATTTGACATGTTTGCTGCAAGGGTCGGAATTTGGGAGAGCGGCGGCTGGAACGCTTGTGAAGTTACATCTTGCTCTTGGTGTTGCTGTTGATGCTGCTGCTGTTGTTGGTGTTGCTGTTGCTGTTGCTGTTGGTGTTGCTGTTGGTATTGCTGTTGCTGCTGTTGTTGTTGTTGCTGTTGAGGCGGTGGTACGCCTATCGAGACCAGAGCTTGAGGATCCGTCAATAGACCGTGAGGAACCTGACTACTGGTTACACTGCTCAACTCTTTCTGGTTCTTCCTTCTCCGTCCATACGCTACTTTCGCCCCCTGCACCGCCAGCTCAGGCTTCCTGCCATGAGCAAGAGCTTCCAGAAATCCCGCTCGGGGCCTTTTAGGTGCTGCTACTGGTACATCGGGCCGTTGTCGTTGTTGTTGTTGACTTGACAGAAAGTCAGGTGTTTCTAAATCTTGATTTCGAGTTATGCCGCTTCGAATGCCTTTAATTATGTTCATGCTCATTTTCAACCTGAACACGTGGATACGACTCTTCTGAACAGGAACTTTCGACTATGTCAGCCATGAACTTATGATCGCCGCATGCCCCCAATCATTCCGGTTCTCTTTTTAGAGAGAAAAACGCAATCATGCAGATACTTGGACTGAGAAATGCAGCCCAGCCACTGAGCGGGTGAATGATGGCATGGAATGTCTCGTCACAAGACTATCGCTCTCAGACTGCAATGGTGGCTTATAGTAAGCAGTGCAGCGCTTACGGATCTTAGCTTGCCTAGAGCTGAACTTTTACCAGTAGCCCAATATTGATTTTCGTGCCACACCAATATATGTGACAAGGCTACGTCGCAGCCTTGCGCCTCCGTGCATAGCCCGAACACGAACCGCCAGCTCATTGGTACCCATCAACCGGACTTGGAACTTCTTGCCGTTCGTACGTTTATCTTGCCCGTTTCCGGTGCGCACTTGGAATCTAGTCTCTACGAGGCGAGGCAGAGTTGTATGACTGCGCAGCGCCCTCCGAACCAACCTGCACACCAACACACCTGCATAGCTTAGGCCCGCGCTTCACTCGTGCCATGATCTCATAGGCGCGGTAGCCAGAAAGCTTCATCGACCGAGATGTATAGCGATCGCCGTACCCAACTACCGTGAGACTAGATTAGTTGTTCTCCAGGAAGAGCTCCAACACAAAAGATTCGATATGGACGACAGCGACCTGGGGTACCACTCTGAGCGTACGTCATTGGTGTCCTCTCATACAGATCACGAGTATTCCCCCAGAACAGACAACTTGAAGGGGAGAACGCACGAAGGGGTGCAAGAAACGCGACTAGTGATCGGTCTGGACTATGGCACTACATACACCGGTATGCTACTTCAATGGGCGTTAATTACAGCTATGCTAACATCACAATGAGGTGTGGCCTACGCTACTCCATCTGGGTTCAGTTGCTCGCTCGATACTATTGACGTTATGGTAGAATGGGGTATGTCGTGTCGCCCCCTGCCATAACGTATGCGCTGACTAGGACAAGGTAAAATCGTGGACGAGAAGGTACCAAGTGTCATCTCATACTCTCACTCAAACTACGAGTGGGGCGGTGCTTTAAGTGAAGACTCTATCTCTATGGTGCACACTAAACTCGAGCTCGGTCTACAGAGTCGCCAGGACGAGCTGGACATGACGCTCCAGGTCTTGGATGGAATGTCTAACCTCAACATCGACGACATGTTACGTTCTATGTCCAATGACGAAGACGTGCCTGCCTACTCACATAAAAGTCCGGAAGAGATAGTCACCGATTACCTGCAAAAGGTATTCCAACATCTAGAGGTGGAAGTCGATCAATTTGGTGCGATCGCAAGAAAACATACAGCTACAGACATTGTAGTCACTGTACCCACAGTAAGCGATACCAACCGTGTTGCATTGCTATAGGGCTGACTTCCCGAAGAACTGGGACTACATGGCGATGAACTCGACCTATCGAGCATTGATGACAGCAGGATTCAATCGAACAAACTTTCCAAAACTACGAGATGTCATGTTCATCACAGAACCTGAGGCTGCTGCAGTTTATACTGCGCGCCATTATCGAGACGAATTGGCGCAAACGACTCTACGGGTTTGTTCAATACGTCAAAGTTGGTGTTACATTGTGAAGCTAATAAAACGAAGGCGGGTCAGTATTTCATACTATGTGATGCTGGGGGTGGCACAGTAGTAAGACCATCACTGAGCAAGTCGCTTTTGAAGTGAAGGAGCTTATGACTATGTTTAGGACGTGGTATCATACCAGGTCAAGCGATTAGAGCCGGCTCTTGAGTTGGAGGCGATTGGAATGCCAACAGGCAAGCGGAATCCGCACCCTGAGAGTGTCGCTAACCGGTCTCAGGTGACAAATGCGGTTCGATCTTCATCAACATGAAGTTCAAGAAATGGCTTCGAGAGATACTCACGGATGTTCACTACAGAGAGCTTGACCCCAATTTCGAGATCGACAAGCTGGCGACCCATGCTTCAGAAACCCCAGCCATGAGATCGCTCATGAAAGACTTCGATGTGAAGAAGAAACATTTCACGGTGGCGTCGCCCGATTACCAACTAGAGCTTCCATTTCCATTGGAAAACCTCGATATTCCAGGTGTGAAACAAGGCCTTCTCACTATCAAGAGGTAAGCATATTTGGTGGCTTTGTCGACCAGTGCTAACATCTTCAGGCAAGACATGGAGTCATTCTTCGACGCGTCAATCGAGCGGATCGTCAGAATGATCAAGGGTCACGTCAAGAGGATTCGAGAACAGTGCCACAACCGCCCCAAGGTAAAGAAGTCTCCCCGCCGTCGCGGTGAAGGACACTAACGTGGACAGAACCTGTTTCTTGTAGGAGGATACGGCGAATCGGAGTATCTTCAAGCTCAGATAAGGGAAATGCTAGTACAAGAAAAATTAGTGATGCAGCCTTGGAGACCCCAGAAGTCCTGGACGGCGGTTGTTCGGGGTGCAGTGGTTTGTGGTATCGAGAAGCGTGAGTCGAAAAGCTTAATGCGAACGAGCTCCTGTCGGCACAGCTACGCAATTTGTCTCGACGAAAGGTACGCCATGGCTCATCATGGTAGGCAAGAGGAGATTATCGAGTATGGCGGGGGCACTTTCGCCAAAGGACAACTCACGTGGCTGCTGAACAAAGGCGATCTGGTATTGTCCAACAAGCCAACGAAGCGGTCCAAGACGATTCACATCCGACTCGTCAAACAGCGTCGGGATGTAATGACTTTAAAAATTTGGCAATACATATGCGACGAGGAACAACGCCCAACGCGTCTCGACGACGCCACTGACGGTGAGTGGTAATTGTTGCCAAGAATGTCCGGAACTGACCCGTGACAGATTTTTACAACGCGGGTGAAATTGACATTGATCTGAGTAGAATTCAGTTTGAGCGTGTGCACGAGGGGCGTGGAAAACCCACGTACTTCAAGGCTGATGTGGAGTTGGTGCTGGAATTGGAAAGGGGAAAGCTTTGGGCGATTCTGCAGTGGAAACGAACGGAACTAACGAGAATCTCAGTAACATACTAGCACAAAAATTTACCTCTCTACCGTGATCGCGGGGCTATGTTCCAAGTATGACAAAGTGTGTGATGCCTTTCGCAACCACCACGGACGACTCGGGCTATGCAAGCTCTGGCCGCAGCCGACTCAGCCGACTCGTTGGCATAGTGCGGTGCAGAAGCCATGCAGAAGGCTGCGCCTATCCTGCAGATGCCGCCAGCCTGACACTGATACGCGGAATTGAAGAACGAGAAGGCAACGAGGCAGATGCATGGCGTTCTTGGCAAGCGCCAACCCTATTTGCGAAGTGCACCCATCACCAAGCGTAGCCCGTTAACAGTATGGTGGCTTGTTGACGATTAAAGTAGCCTATCTAAGCAAGGTAGAGCCGCAGCCTCGAACCCATATCAATAAGGCGGCAAGGTTCTCTCTTTGTGATCAGCACCCATTTCCCTCCATCTTACCTAGATACAATGACAGACCTCATCAACCTATCAGCAAGATACGTCATCAAAACAGATCAGTTGGGACTCGAAAGCGCGCTCGCATCCACACCAGATAACGACACCCTCGTTCTAGAGTCCGTCTCAAGCGACGCTAATCCAAGCCAGCTCTGGTACTTCGAAGAGACCGAGCTCGACGACTATTACCGCCTACACACCGAAGATAAAGGGAACGGCAACTCTCTGAGCACGTACAACTATGAAGGAAGCCAGACGACAGATTTGCGTTTCCGAGCTAGCGAAATCATAGACGCACAGTACTGGCGACTAGACGTACAAAGTGATGGAAACGTCAAAGTCAGCAACAACCGCGCCGGCTCTAGTAGTTATCTCGATATCGAAGATGGGAGCCTGAAGCCTTTTCTCGCGCAAGGAGATTCGGGCAAAGGAGAATGGACACTTAGCACTTTTGGTGCTGCTGCGGCTACACCCACCTCTACCGTCTCCACCTCCTCTGATGTTACGACCACACCGGATGCAACGCCGTCTTGTACCTCAGAATGTACAGCAGCTACGGATGTTACTACCGCCGATGATGCAAAGTCTTCGGGGTTGAGTAAGGAAGCAACAATAGGCATCGCGGCCGGTTTGAGTGCAGCAGGGCTTTTGGCAATCATAGGAATTGCGGTTTGGCTGTGGAGACGACGAAGGCGAGTGCCATCTCGTGCACCGAGTGTTCATTCTATGAGACAGGGCCACCTACTTGGTTGAGGCTGACGACAAGGAGAATCGAGTGTGACCAAAGGGTAAACGGTTTGTATTTGGCTTCGTTGCATGCATGGTCGGTATAGACTGTATGATATGATTTAGCGTGTTTGGTATGCACAAGAGTTTTCCAGCTTGAGCACAATACACCTTTAACAGCATCTATGCATTTGATATCTATATCGGTAGATCGCCAGCACCACATCTAGCCATGGCGTGATACTATTCATGTCTACCCTCGTCGCAAGTTCCCACCATGGTATAAAAAGAAAGGATCATACAAGCTACGAAGCAAAAGAAGTAAAGCGCAGGCCCAAATCGTCCGCCGATAAAGCCGACCTCGCGTCCATGTCAGATAGAATACATAATCCGGTGGGAAATCCCACCGAGAACCGCAAGACAGCAGAACCTGTTCAAAGCGCAAATTATACCGTAGTCCCGCTAACCCAATGCTAGAAAAACGTCAAGAACGTGAAAGAGAAACATTGTACACAAATCGTGAATGGAATGAACGCAATTACAGCTGGTATGCTGGTCTCATCCCAAGGTCTTCTAATCAATGGTGATGACGTCGTTCTTGGACTGCCCTGGACGGCCTCCTTGACCGCCTCTACCTTGCTGTTGTTGCTGAGACATTTGCTGGCGGCCGTTTGGCATCTGCTGCTGCGAGGGTCTGCCGTTCGGAGGTTGGCTTCTGGGATGTTGCTGCATGTTCGGGTGCTGTTTCCCAGCTTGCGCCTGAGCCTGTCTTTGCTGCTGCTGACGCGCTTGCTGCTGTTGTTGTTGCATCCTAGCCTGCTGCTGCTGGTTTCCCTGCTGGTTTCCGTTCGCCTGTGCAGGCGCCTGTCCTGGACCAGATCCCTGGTTCTGCGCTTGTTGCGGGGGCTTTTCAAGTGGTGGAGGTGCAACATAACCTCCTGCCATTTTGCAACTCAAAACACATTCATCCAGCTTGAGTAGTGCTTCAGGGATCGCGTCCAAGTCCGCCACCATGCCGGTTCGGGTACCAAACCATCCTGGGCCCTTTCCACTGAAGAGTTCCTTCAGCTTGGCCTGTAGGCTGTCGAGACGCCTATGACCAGGCGCACGCTCGGGAGTTGGTAGATTTGTGGCTTGATTTGGAGGATCCTTTGGACGCAAGTTGTCTTCGACGAACCAGTACACCTGGTCATCTTTGGGTTGAAGGCGCACGTCGAAAGTGCAGACCGGATTGTCATAGGTGAGTCGGTATTTGAGGACGGAGTGAACATGGATTGCGGGATTACTATAGTTGCCTGGCGATCGTTCTTCGACTTCGCGCAGGGCCTTGAAGAGGGGCCGGGTCGCGACGAGAGTCGTACAGAAGCGATCTAGGCCATCGACATCGCTGACCTCCGTGGTTGGGAAGGAAGGCAACCGATCGTTGGCGATCTCAGTGAGCAGATGGAGAATCCGATGGTGGGGATTGTCATGTGACAGCTCGATGGTAAGCTCCTTTTCAGTGCCAAAGTTGACGGTTGCAGAGTATGGCGATGGACCGTACTGGAACTGTACGCGCTGTAAGGAGGAGGACGAAAGCCGCATTTGGCGCTTCTGGAGGGTACTGGCAAAGGTACGAAGGCGGTTAACATCTCGCAGTCGTGCTCGCAGCTCTCCTAGGATATCTTGCCCAAAGGGTGTAGCAAGAAGAATCCTGAAGTTGCCATCTTCTGAGAACTTAAAGGCGGTCTGTGGTGAAGCTGCCATGAGCTTATGCATGTCTGCAGCAACAGACTTGACCATTCTACCGACAGCCATATGCCAGACGTCCTGACCCCCAACTTTCAAGCCTTCACATGTAATCTTGATGTCTGATTCAAGCCATGAGTCTTCGTCTGCTTGGGGCACAAGAAGGTCCGGAGTTTGCACATGCAGCACCCATCGACGGGGGACACAACCAGCTTCTACGAACGAGCCTGCTTGCCCTAACTCAGGTCGCAAACTGAAATTCTTCTTCTCCTTTTCTAGTTGGCGAGCTGTGACGCGGAACGACAGAAGCTGCACAGCGACCCTCTCCAGACTTGCCAAGGTGTTGCGGTTGATGGGCAAGGAGCTTCCATCAGGTCTGTCCAACTTGATCTGCTCGGCGTATTCGAGGCTATTTCCACCAGATCCGATTTCAAAGATCCACCACGATTCGCCTGAAGAGTCGATTACCGCTGCCAATGCCCAGTTTGGTGTCCAGCCGCGAGGGCAATACAGCGTGGAAGAGATGACATCCAATTTGACAGCAGCCGACACTACCTGCTGTTTCAAAGCCTGTCTTGCGACCGATTGCCAGCCGAGTTGTTGTGCGTTCTTCTGGATCAGACTGAGCAATGTGCCGGCTAGCACTTGCGTCATTACATGAGCAATCTGTGATGGCTCTCTGCCTTGGTTGAAAGCATTTTCCGCTCGCGCTGATAGTGCGCTAGCTGGTCGCAGGATGTAGTTACCAGTGACCGACTCTAGTGATAGGGCAATTGATGTAGATTTCGTACCCAGCGATGCGTTGAGTGTAGAGTCGGCAGGTTCGGTCTCGGAAAGATGTGCATTCGCCGTCACTCCAGACTTGAAACTCTCCTTTGTGGATCGCAAGATATCACTCGTGTGGCGTGCGATAACTTGCTTGATAACGCGTTCCATGGAGAGATCCTTCCAGTCAAAATGGAACTTGACATCTTTCACTTCTTTGCCCTGGCGGAACCAGCGCGTAGTCAGCGACGGTATGGGAGGCCCTCTCCACGAAACCTTGCCGTTCTTTGGTTTGTTGTTCGATACGCCAATCTCAATCCAATTCTTTTTTCCAGGCTTATCAGTCCAATAAGACACGACGAGCAAGCGATGCACAGGCTCAACCTTGAGAGATCCAGCCCAGCCGCTGCGAACGAGATTAACAGCCTGCGATCGAAGCACTGAGATCTTGTGCGTTAGAACAAAGTTGTTCAGGAAGTCGAAAAGGCCGGTCAGACCCTTCTCCTTTAAAACTACGTCGGCCTGCAGCTTGAGTTGCATGAAGAAACGGCTACCGACGGTAATGGTAGGTGCAGGAGTGAACAACAACCGGAGATCAATGAGAAACCACTGTTCTGAGGCATCCTCTACAAAGGACATGACGTCGAATTCCAGCTCGCCGGCAACAACGAAAGTTGCGCGTCCAGAATGCACGCGCCAGTCTTGGAGGTGTCGTGGGAGACTTTCGTGTACGTTGAGGCGTATAGAGAGAGAAGTGTTCATGTACCGAAGCAGTTTAAGGGCTTGCTCCGCAGAGATAGGCTCAGGGGGTATGTAGCCCAGGCTCGGCATCCATGACGCTTTCCCTGTCGATAGCACTTCCAGGGCGGTCGCAACGTCCGGATTGTTTTCTCTGGCATTGTTGGACAGAATCTTAATCTTTTCCAGTTTGTAGTCAGCAGCATCCATATGGGCTGCCTGGGTACTCGCGTGGGCCAGCAAATCAATGAGTTTTGATATGTCAACGGAAGCTTTCTTTCCCCATTCGGTGAGGACTAGCAGCTTGATGAATTTAGCCCGTTGCTCCTGCGCGAATTGAAGCACAACTAGCTTTTTACGCTTGTTCGCCTCTGCATTCACTTGTGCATTTGCCGCGCCAAGGCCATTGGGAAGAGCACCGTTTGACACTGGCGCTATCTGGATGGCGGCCATGTTCTTCAGGACTTCCTCCAATTCATTGTAAGATTCCTGGGATATCCGCAACAACAGTGTTGACAGGGACATGTACTGTTCGGGGCCGATATGAGCGATCTCCGGGGGCAGATCCGAGTATTGTTCGAGCGTGGGACCCGCCGTTGCTGCGACTACCATGGATGCGCCGTTGGTGCTGGTTTCGCGCGAAGGACCCCCATTAACAGCAGGTCCCCCTGCCGGCGTATCACTTCGCGCGCCGTTGAGTCCGCCATTGGTCAGATCCCCGTTGTGGCTCCGCTTCCTGTTTTCTGCATCTCGTGAAGCCGTCGCTGAGTCGGACCCGGTGTGGTTCATGGTGAGAATGCCTGGCATACTACGTCGTCCTCCGTCCCGCGGCCTGGGGCGCCGTCTGCGCACCCGTTTTGCGCGCGTCTATAGCTTTCTTGAAGTGTGTGGTCGCGCTTTTTCCTTGATGTTGTCGCGAGAATGTCAACCGCGCGGTTTGAATCGTGATCGAGGCTGCGTGCAGAGGGCTGGCGGTGGAGTCGGCGGTGAAATGCGCAGGTTAGGAGTGAGGCGCGCTCATTAAAGCAGATGCTTTGGCGTAAGAATGGAAGCGCCGAGATAGCACGAGGCGCAGTGAGTGTTGAAAGGGCGCTGGTCGAATGCAGCAGGTGAAAGAAAGCGAGGTCGGGGCGCTGGCGACTAGCGCATCGTCGACTGTGAATGCTGCAAAACGTCGTGATGGCAGTCGCGGCCGTAGAGCGGTGGGAATTAGTCCGGAGTGGTCGTGGATGGGGTGCGCGCGACGTGGGCGGGTGGAGTGGTTGCAGCGATGAGGTCGTTGAAACATCAGCAGCCTCTCGTACCGACGACGGGAGGGAGGGCGTGGATTGGGTTTAGCGCCTTGGCGCTCGCTCCACCCATGCACGCTGATGATGGAGCCCTGCATCTCCTGCCAGACACACTGAGGTCGCATCAGCAACCGAGTCAAGCTTGAGGGCCCAGCTTGTCTATAATGTGCGTCAACGACACTGCACATCTCGTCGCGCGGATGCGATATAGCTAGCTACTTTAATCGCTAGTACGTTCAGTCATTCACCGCATTGCTGTCCGCGGCTCGGCGAGCTTGCGGCTGCGGCGGCCAGTAGTCTATCTAGATGCGAGCTGGAGCGCAAGCGCCTTGTCCAATGTCTTTCTCGGATAAGCCTCTACTGCAAGTAGACGCTTTATCAGATGTTCACAGGTCATGCCCATGGGATCATCCGCTGCCACCCCAACAACTCCACATCTCTCCCCAGCTTGGGCCTGACCTCAACGTGCCCACTAGAAGTTGTCCTCCGACCTGAATAGCAGCCCGG